GTCCTGACCGCGTAGCTCAGTTGGAAGAGCATTGGGCTAGTATTCCAAAGGTCGTAGGTTCGAATCCCACCGTGGCCGGGCATGTTTTTCAAGCTCGCCCGGTGTGGATATGCACTCAGAGTAACATCACAAACATATACAGTTCTTATTAACTAGTTAATACCTTAAAGTTTTATTGCACACGAACCAACAAACGCGCCTCAAAGCAGTCCGAAAAGACATTTTCTTAACAATTACATCCGGGGCAAATATAGCCTATACTAAAATAACTATCAAGAATTGTTTTTAAATATATAAATTTCGCGACCGTTATTCTACAGGAAAAATAGGATTTTCCTAAACTTTCATATATTGTATAAATGATATGCTCTTTCATTTAGAGACTTACACGTAAGTGGTGCAAGCAGCAAGCCTATAAACAAGCGACAATCCGTCTCAAAATGGACGATGTCACAGAATAAGGATCTGACTCGCTCCGGCGGCTCGTGCAATTTTGGCACATTTTTCAAATATCACTCGTAGTGTTAATCATTAGTGTACTTAAGCAAACGACGTTTTTCTCAGCACGAACGTCACCTGAAAATTGGTATGACTAATTTTGACGATATTTTGCATCATGGCGCTCGTGTAAGCAAGCAAAAAACTTAAACTAAAATCTTATGTTTTGTTACATGTGATGAAGATTACTACAAACTGATACAAACACAGTTTTTAGTCCAGTCCCCCCTCGGCAATCTGACGTCCATGTTGACAACAACGTCGTTTGCTTAAGCTCACTATTAATTGCACTCCTTCCCGTGTGATTACCTCTACAAATTATACATTGTCATTGAGAGACATCGCTCTGGAGACACCGGAGGCACATTAGCTTTACCTCAACAACGCATTGAAAAATAGTTTTAGCTCCAGTGGTGCGGTACTGTGGAACACCCTTCCAGCCGAGATACGACAAGCTAACACTTTACGTAAATTCAAGTCTGGCAAGATAAAGATAAATTGGAATGTGAAAAAGAATGGGTTGTTTTTCAGGAAGAAAGTGAGAGCGACATTTCGGAGAAAGAAATGGAGAGAGAAGAAGAAAGAATTTCCAAGAAGAAAGTGAAAGCGTCAGGGCCATACTTCATCTGTCTTAGATTAGATACGGTTTTAGAAAACCTAGGACTTGAGAAAGCAGCTTGTTTTCACGATTGTGGCTGTAATTGAAAATGATGTGAATCATCTTCCAGATGTTCATTGTATATGCGGACGATTCTGAACTTTACCTTTTATTCAAGCCAGATGGCGAAGTGAGTTAGGCCGCGGCATTGAATGCGATGCAACGCTGTGTGAATGAGTAAGTGAACTTTATTTAACCACGGTAAACTCATTAGGATTTTAAAACGCCAATTATACAATATAATACAATACAATAAAAAGTTATATATTACAATTTTATATACATATCCATTTATAAAAGTACCTGTTTTCCATGAGTGCCGTGCAATTACTAATATAAAGATAAAAATTTGAAAATGATCGTATGAAGTTGCTGCAGTCATCCATCTTCACTTTTTTCATCCTTACATTCAGCCTCAGAACTCTCAGATGTAGTTTCATTCTCATCCTCGATTTCCTGTTCAGACTCAGACTCGTCTTCATCAAAACTGCAAGAACTCGCTGACTCGTGCTGTTCTGGTAAGAGAAGCTCATCCACTTCGCAAACCCCATAGGCAAACATCTGTTTCTGGTTATTCTTGTCATGAAAGAAAACGAGAGAACCCGAGTCACCGCCTTCCAAGAATGGACCACCACATCCCTTTACGGCGAATGCATCCTGGAATAATAGCTCCACTGTTAATTCGAACCCTGTCACTGATTACCCCCTCCTCGGAAATTGCAGTTGAAATACTGAATTGGATCAATCCTGTCAGCATTGACGGCTTGGTTTCCCATCCCCCCGGCCTGATTGATAAATTCTCCACCTCTTGCTGCAGCTCCTGAAATCCCAAAGAAGCCAGAGTTACCCATGGCGTTCGCCTGGTTTCCACCATATCCCCCACTGTAGCCAGTACTCGCTGCCGCAGAACCGATATTACCGAAGCTGTTCGTCGCCTCACCAGTACCCCCGGTGTTAAAAGCACTGGCACCCGGTACGGCGTTGAATCCTACAGCCGCCGCGTTGTTGTCAGAGTTATTTCCAGAACCTGAAAAGAGAAAAGATAAACGGTTATGGAAAATTTTCCACAGGAAGAACATTTTGTAAAATGTCATTGGCCGGAAAAAATTTTGAAGTTGAAAAATTTTAACTTTTTTTTTTATTCTCCTTAAACAATGTGAAAAGTCACTTTTCAAAGTTGTAACTGTAAATTCATCATTATACATACAACTGCAGTGATAAAATGTGGCATTTTGCAGTGCGTGCACTCGCAGACTTGGAAGAGACAGTGCCATAAATGGCGGATAAACCGAGCGTGAAAATTGAAAAAAGCTTCGCAAGGCTTCGGCGGATAAATCGAGCGTGAAAAAGGCTTCGCAAGAACAAATTCGCCTAGTGGAAGACCGGCTGAAGATTACTACAGATGTATTATGTAAATATTTCAATTCGCAGTTGTTTTCTATTATTGAAACAACAAATTTCCACGCTTTATCTCGGATAACCATACACATTACCATCACGTAATTCTATTCATGGTATTTTGTTAATAAAGCAACGATTTCATCGATATATAGCATGCAAGCTTGCGAAAGAACGTTAGATGTCAGTAAAGCCTGGTTAACATATGCCTGCGGTATGCCTGCGACTGTATCATTACGCCTCTACTTGCCGCCGAAATACCGGTAAAGTTGAACTCAAGTCAACTTTCCCGGCCTACCGCCGATGTAACTGTGGCACTGGAGGCAATCGGTGAACAAATATTCACATAATTCACGTCGCCGGTATCGTCGCCGGTACGTCGCAGGCATATATGTGAACCAGGCTTAAGGTATGGATTTTAACATAACTTGGACAAACTATCGCATAACTTGGACAAACTATCGTATATGGGCATGTATGTAGTTATGCAAATTTTATTCGTATACACTATTGAAATGTTTGTCGATTAACATAAGCGCTGGCAAAGAAAATATTATGGAATAAATAACCAAAACCTGCGC